GAAACTGGGGTTAATATCTGTGCAGAAAGAAAAAGAAACAAATTCAATATTCTTCATAGTTCTATGAATGCCAACAATTATTTCTAAATATAAATGTAGCACCTCTGCCTCTTGGACATGTTTTGTGATCCTTAGTGTGCCACCAGCATTTCATCTGTACATAAATATACTTGAGTAAAAAAATGAAGCCCAAACTATATTTTTTGCCCTAGTGATAACCAGGTGTTAGTGATTTTTCTCTTTCACAAAAATACAACACACTATGCCAAACTCATACAAAAATACCCTTAAAGATCTGAACAGTGGACATGGAGGACATTTTATCCTATACTAGGGAGTGTTTGGGCACACAGTATATCTCTGCACGTACCTATGGTATGCCACGGCCTAATTCTTTTTAGATCTACAGTGAAAGTTAAATGTTATGTCACCCAAGCCTACAAAGCCAATTCTCCTTCTGTTATTATTCTAAGGAATATATTGCTTGTCCTACCCATATGGGTTAAAATTTATATATTATGCATTAAGTAACCTTGGATGTAAAGATTTTAATTTCAACATGGCTAAATATTACACTCAAAATGTTCAAATGGGTCTGTATGTTATCAGTTTATTCAGCAGTTTTATTCCTCTGATCTTATAACTGGAATTGCTGCTGATGGGCTGAATTAATTAGACTTCATGGAGGCCAGAAAAAGAGCCTCCTCATGGTGATGCAGTTGCTTATCGGTCAATTTGCAAGAGCTTCAAGAACTTTAGAGATTCATTTTTTTTATTTAAAAAAAAAATTGGGTGCATCCAGCATAGTGTCCCTCTGAGCATGTGTATAGACAGGTAGAGAGATACAGACGTAAATAGGCAGATATATAAGGAATCTCAATAAAGAGACATCTATAGCAATATGGACTGGCCGTACGGGTGGGTCCAGTCTGATATGCTTCAGATATGTTCTCTCTGTAATGGAACAAGACAAGCTAAAACCAGCTTGAGATCTGAGCGGGGACCCACCGTAGGGCAGCCTAATTGAGCGGTTGTCCGTTCTCACCTCTCTTGCTACTTGTTTTTCTCTCTATAGCAATATGCCGTCCATTCTGGCTTGCTAATCTCCAAATTTTCCTTAAAAAACTGTGTTCATTTTGCATATGATTTAGTCCTTCCTTCCATCACTTTCACCTATTTGTTTCACCAGACATTTTCCCATGTTGCATTTGCCCTCTGTAAATATTTAACCTACTCTGTCGAACTCTCCCACACAACTTTAAAGAACAACTATAGTCACCTAGAATATGCCATCTCAAGAGAGCGGCCTGGGTGCAGGGTGAATGCCATTTTAACCCTGCAATATAACATTGCAGCTTTATTTGTGGAAACTGCAATGTTTACATTGCAAAGTTAAATCCACTTCAATCAAGAAGACAGCCGCAATAGGCACTAACGCTGCACTGACTGAGTAAAACTTGCTCATCCGATGGGGAAGCTCAGGTTCAATGCTTTCCTATGAAGTATTTTCATGTTTTGTCATCCTGCCTGCTATACATACGGAAGAGTCTTCTCTATGTATTTTCTGAAAACTACAGCAATCAGGAGGCAAATAAGAAGAAATTCAGACATAGGAAGCTATATAGAAGCAGATTAGATAAAGTTGGTGAAATAGCAGCTTTACGGAAAATGTACTGAAATTTCAACAGCTTGGTTGGTTATGCTGAAATTTACTTCACATTTTATCTCCATTGTGCTATGGGAACCTTTGAATAACACACCGATTGTATATCAGACTGATGCCACCCATAAAAGCAATCCAGTACCAAAAATAGTGGTCAAAATAGTAAAAAAAACACAAAAAGTTAGCATTTAGTAATCATAAAAAAAACAGTGAGGAAGATAGACAGATTTATAAGATTAGGCAGAAAGAGGCTAAGCAAGTCATAAGAGCTTCCAAATAACACGCAGAATAGAAAATTGCCCAGTCAGTAAAAAAGCAGGACAAAACATTTTTTAGATACATAAATGAAAGTAAAACAAGGATTAGTCAGATTAAAAACAAAAGGAATGTATATAGAAGAGGATACAGGTCTAGCCGATTGCCTCAATGAATATTTTTGTTTGGTATTTACAGATGAAAATGAAGGAAATTAACCTCAGTTAGGAAAAAGGATAAATTAGTCATTTGTTACATGTGAGTTTACAGAGGAAGAGGTTCTATTTCAACTGTCAAAAGTAAAGACAAAAAAGTCCATGGGGCTTGATGGAATATACCCAAAGTTATTAAAAGAGCTTAGTGGTGTACCAGCAAACCATTTGGAAGTTAACAAATGTTGTGCCTATTCACAAAAATGGTAGTAGGGAGGAGTCGGGCAACTATAGGTCAGTAAGTCTTACTGCAGTAGTGGGGAAGGTAATGGAAGCCATGTTAAAAGATAGGATTGTTGAACATCTAAAATCACATGGATTTCAAGATCAGAGACAACATGGGTTTACTTCAGGGAGATCATGCCAAACTAATCTTATTGATTTTGTTATTGGGTAACTAAAATAATAGATCCGGGTGGTGCAGTAGACATTGCTTACCTAGATTTCAGTAAGGCTTTTGACTCTGTTGCTCATAGAAGGCTTATCAATAAACTGCAATCTTTAAGTTTGAATTTCAGTATTGTTGAATGGGCACGGCAGTGGCTGAGTGACAGGCAACAGAGGGTTGTAGTAAATAGAGTAAATTCGAAGCATGGTCTTGTTACCAGTGGGGTACCTCAGGGATCTGTTCTTGGACCCATTCTCTTTAGTATTTTTATTAGTGGTATTGCAGAAGGTCTTGATGGTAAGATATGTCTTTTTGCTGATGATACTAAGATATGTAACAGGGTTGATGTTCCAGGAGGGGTAAGCCAAATGGCAAATGATTTAGGTAAACTATAAAAATGGTCAGAGCTGTGGCAGCTGACATTTAATCTGGACAAGTGCAAGATAATGCATCTTGGATGTAAAATCCCAAGGGCAGAGTTTAGCATGTTTGATAGATTCCTAACCTCAACAACTGAGGAAAGGGATTTAGGGGTAATTCTTTCAGATGACTTAAAGGTAGGCAGAGAACTGCAGACTGTATCTCCAGAAGTATATTGATACCTTGGAGAGAGTTCAGAGAAGGGCTACAAAACTGGTTCATGGATTACAGGATAAATCTTACAAGGAAAGGTTGAAAGATCTTAACATCTATAGCTTGGAAGAAAGACAAGACAGAGGGGATATGATGGAAACATTTAAATATATAAAGGGAATCAACACAGTAAAGGAGGAGACTATATTTAAAAGAAGAAAAACTACCACAACAAGAGGACATAGTCTTAAATCAGAGGGGCAAAGGTTTAAAAATAATATCAGGAAGTATTACTTTACTGAGAGGGTAGTGGATGCATGGAATAGCCTTCCAGCTGAAGTGGTAGAGGTTAACACAGTAAAGGAGTTTAAGCATGCGTGGGATAGGCATAAGGCTTTCTTAGCTAAAAGATAAGGCTAGGGACTAATGAAAGTATTTAGAAAATTGGGCAGATTAGATGGGCCGAATGGTTCTTATCCGCCCTCACATTCTATGTTTCTATGCCAACAGATACCCTCTGCACCAGCGATGCAACAACTCCAGAAATTGTTTCAGCATTCTTTGATGTAAGGTTATATTTATCTCTGAATTCAGTTGTCAAAATGTGGTACAATAGTAGATCTGTAAATGCATGAGACAGTAGAAGAAATTGACAATGTACCTTCATAATTTCGCACCATTCACCTTCTCCTGCTAAGTTGACTCCGCGTACTCTGAACAGGATCTCAGTGTTGGGAGCCAAATTGTGTAGTTCAATGCTCTTCTGCCTTATTCCATGTATCTTCCCAGTAAGATCTCCAAAGTGTTGGCTTCATGACCAGTCAGAGACAGTGATTTCTTGAAAGTCAACATCGTAATAGTCGACAATCTCTGGAGGTGCTGTCCAGAATAGCTGTAAAAACATGAAATTAGAGAAGTGGCTTTTAATAATAAATAATAATTGTTCTGTCCTCCAGACTTTATTCAGTATATTTGTGTTTTGTTGTTTAGAACAACATGTTTGGTTCCTTTACTTACACCAGCTTGTATAGCTCTAGTTCTGCATATATTGTAAACTCAGTATGTTTAAATAAAGTTGTTAGAAAGCACAGCATTATGGGCAGGACTTCTACAGGAAGTGTATCAGCCTCCATTTTGGGAAGATACAGTAAGCAGCACTCATGTTCTTCTCATCCCTAGCCATCACCCCTTAGAGAGATTAAAAAGTGAGTTCTTGTTATCCTACCATGTATTATTGATCATTGTTTCTTTTTTGTATGCAATACTGTACTGATTGATGTTTATTTCTACCAATTTGTAGTTTCACTTGGCTTGTTCTAATAAATTTGAGATCAAAGAAATATGGTATCTGAAGTTTATGGAGCAAGGTTTAGCTCTCTGTCCTAGAGACAGAACAATAATAATAAAACAAACTCTCCCATGTTGAGCTGCACACGTTTTGCTCATTGACGGATAGAATAGCCAGGAATGAGAAAAGTTTTCAATATAACCAATGTAAAGAAAAGTTTGGTCTTTCCATGCAACTGACTTGAGTGACCTTGTCAGGTCTCATTAGATTTTACAGCCAGGCACAGTTTGAAAATTAGGAGATAAGAGTGGAAATATTAGCAAAACATGTTTCAATAGTCCGAGACCATTTGTCAGGGGGTACACTGCTTAATGTTCATCCCTCTGACCAAATCCACTGTGTGGCATAATGTTGGTAAAATAAAGTGTGGAGACCATATCGTTGAAACTGATTGTGTCATGAATTACTGGATGGTGAAGTGGGGCATATGAAGAATGGATCAGTTGGTTTATCTTTCTCTGGACCATTAATTGCGCCAACCAATAATTTTTTATATCGAGTGCCAGAGGAGTTCTTATCCCAAATCTACACAGTCCCACCAAATTCAAAGTTAAAAATAGATTACTCTGTCATGTAACATAGTTGACTCATTCCTAAACCCTTATTTATTATCTCATAAAAGTAAACACTACTTAACACCTTAACTACATTTGGATAAGCTAAACTCTGGTAGAGAGAAACTGGACTGGGAGGGGACCATGGCAATATGTCCTTAAAGGATGATGAATCCATCATATCATTTTCTGTATATGTGATCTTATCCTCTTTGTTCATTGGGCGTCTCAACATTGGAGGTGTGCTCTTTGGTCTCATTTGGTCATCTTCGTCTGCTGTTTTCACAAACTCATTTTTGCTATTTATATTATTGTCATTTGAAGTCAGATTGATGGAGAATTTAGAGGCCACCGAAGGAATGAAAGATGTCTCCTCGTCCTCGGCAATATATGGTTGTCTTTTCAGATCATCCTTCAGCTTCATGAGAACATTTGGCTGTGGGAAAAGAGCACGCAGACCAGAGGCAATATGTTCAAAGTTGATTTGAAGGTTTTTAATTGGGTCATACTTTAAACTGCTGACAGGTTGGTAGAGTCTAGCCACCTCATTGTCTATTTCCTTGACTAAATCATTGACCGACTGCAGGAATGTTATTGGATTTTCCTCTTGCAGAGCCTCCTTGGAGTACTGTTCTTCAAGGGTCAGGAGCATTTGATTAGAGGAGCTCAAGAACTGTGTCAGTTGAAAATCCTTCTTAGATTCAATGCTTTGCATGAGATTCTTACTTTGCAAGAGAAAAATATTTTAAATTCCATTCAGTTTTAGGAATCCATCTCTGATTTCATGTAGCAGAGGATTCAGGGTCAATTGTGAACAAGTGTTCAGTATCAATTCAAAGCTGTATGGTAACACTGGAGCAATACCGGTTGTATAGAGGTATATCAATTGGGAATAATAATTTTTCTCTTTTTTCTTTTTGCCTGTTTTGGTATATCACCTAAGGTGTTGCAGAATTTGTATGTAACAGAATGAGATAATGTGTTTGTTATATCTCTCACTATATTCAACAGATACTTAACTTCACAAGAGTTAGTAAAATAAAGATGATTTTTTCGTAAAATTCTGCATTTGAGTGTGGTATCATATGTATATCTTTTTGTGATTATTAAGGGTATATTTCTGAGGGCTACCCTGATACCTAGCACCATTGGGATATAAGAGTGCCAGTGCATTTGTTTCTTTTGTGTATATATGGCCCCACACACAATGCACCATTATCCATCTAAGATTTAGAATTCAGATCATTGGACAGTATCCACATACATAGTAATTTTTTTTAGAATTGAGTTTTTCTTTCCTTTAAGCAATATCTATGGTAACTTTTGCATACACTGAGGGAGATATTAGTCATCTCACTTCAGCGTTGAGAGGGACAAGAGATTTTTTGACTAACGATAGCGAAAGGAACATAGCAACGAAACTAGAAAAATAATTAAAAAAGGTCAGTTGGGAGCTTCAGTACCCTAGGCGAATATCTGAGGCAAAAACGAATACCTCGAGGTTTAAGGGTCAGACTGCATCCCACACTTGGGAAAGATAATTCAGATCACTGTGAAACGTGGTATAAAATATTGAATAAATGCTCAGTGGACTTGATGGTCCTAACTATTGATACATTACAAAAAAAACTTGTGAAATTGAAATAGCTAATTTAGAAAGGGAATTAGCACTACTAACTACACAGACTGAATTAGACAAATTGAAGAAATATATAGAGGACAAATTAACACAATATCAAAAAGAAACAGAGGAATACAAAAAAAGAAAATTCCAACGAGATACTAACGATTACCAGAGAGAACAGGTGTACACATGGTATCAGAATAAGTACAGACAGTACAAGACGAGCAAAGATAGAACAAGTAGAAGATGGCACCAGGATTCAGATGCACCATCTTCATCTTCCTCTGCCTCTTCCATTACTGGAGCGACTTTTTAAGGGAATCCTATTGAACAAAAAGAGCAATCAGGAGGGGGGATCACCACGAGAGGATCAATAGACAAAAGGAGAGGGACACCTCCAATCGACAGGTGGAGAAATTGATATGCAACATATCAGGTAGGCCATTAACCCCACAAGAAGAATGTGTTTTGAACAGAGGTTTATCATTTGTCCCCACTCCTTCCCCTCAATGGCATGAGTATGATGTCTCTCTATATAAATTCTTTAGACAGCTAAAACTCAAGGCATATTTTTTCATAACAGAATCAGAAAGAGGTGCAATGAATATCACATCATCCAACATGGAGACCAACGTTTTAGTTCATCCACCCCAGCATAGCATTCAGGGGAGTGAGAATATGCAGCTGATGGAGATACAATCGATGCATTCGACCACAGATCTCTCCATACCCTTGTGCACAGGTTTGAAACCTAAAAGTACTTTTTTTACCTAATATGACTAATCAATCTATTGATATATTCTCGAACCTATTGAAGAGGGATATGAAAAAATAGGAACTGAATACAACAGGAGCAAAAACTTTCAACATAGGCCCAATTTTACCAGGAAAGAGTGGCAGACATTAATTGCACTCAGACAAGATGAATCCATAATCATCAAAACCGCAGATAAGAGCAGTGCTTTGGTAATTATGGACCGTCTATATTATATAAGGGAGATTAGATCACAACTAAATGACACCGACAGTTATCAGTTAATAGATGCGAATCCGATACAGAGATTGCAAACCACCCTAGATGAACTAAATAGGGATGCCACAGAGAAAGGGATTATATCTGAGGGAGAGTATAAATATATGAATAGAAAACACCTAATAATGCCAGTCTTTTATACTCTCCCAAAGATACATAAAAACCCACAATTTCCACCTAGAAGACCCATAGTTAGTGGGACAGGATCAATTTTTCAACCACCAGAGGAGCTCCTGGATACATTTCTCATCAAGAACGTGCCAACACAGAGGTCTCACAAGGCACACATTAATTCCTTAAATTAGTTAATAACTTCTCCCTAGAGACACATGAGGAAATTTGGCTGGTCACTCTTGATGTCCTGTCATTATATACATCCATAGACCACAGAGGAGGTTTGGAAGCAGTAGAATGGACTTTAGATCAAGACAAAGATCTTACCCAGTATACAGCCACCAGGAAATACATTCTGGAATTGTTACAGTTTGTCCTAACAGAGAACTCTTTTCTCTTTGAGGATAAATTCTATAAACAAATCAGAGGAACTGCTATGGGCTCGAATGTCACCCCGACATACGCCAACATCTATATGAATAAATTACAAGAATTACACATATACACTACTCCATTATTTGAGAAATGCCTGACATGGAAAAGGTTCATTGACGATGTGTTTGTGTGTTGGGGTGGCACGAGAGCCAAGTTGCATATGTTCTTTAACCAACTGAACTCTCTAGATTTCAATGTTAAATTTACTGTGATCCTTGTTTGCAGATAGCACAGTCCTCTAGGGTAAACAGCAGGCACAGTCCTTTGGTTTTCATATAATCCAGGCAATTTTATTGGCAAGTCCACACAGCAAAACAACTAAAACATAAATATAACAGGTTTCCCTTTTAAACAAAAACCTAACTCGTCTGAGCACTGACTCACTTTTAATATCCTGCTTTCCTTTTTGCACTCCCAATGCCCAGTTTCCTTGACTCTCTCACAGTAGAACACAGTGTCTCTCCTACCTGCTTCCAGGGAGGAAGCCAGCAATCCCCCTTTACCTGCCTAGCAGGGAAGGGTTTATTCCCACTGCTGCAGCTGATTATCTGCAGCTGAGCAGTGGGTTGGAGACAGATTAAAACTCTGGCCTGGATCTTATTTCTCCCAGTTTTATGCAAACTGTGGAGTGGAGCATTGGCCCACCCTGCTCTCCAAATGCTCCACCCCAGGGGCCCATAACTAAGCTTTGGTTTGTGTTGCCTACAACACATACTCCCCCTGGGGTTAAATGTTATAGGCCTCTCTGCCTTCACTTTATCACATTACCATGTCTTCTGACAGATATACAATTCCATTCTTAGATACACAGGTACATTCTACTCAGGGTAAATTACATACCAACATATACACAAAGCCCACGGACAGGAATAACCTTATAGAATACCAGTTATCACCCACAACACCTCAAGGATGTTCTTCCTTACAGTCAACTATTAAGAGTAAGGAGGATAGTCTCACAAGAACATCAGGTACAACAGGGATTGGAATACATGTGCAGTACATTTACAAGTAGGGGTTATCCACCAGAACTTTTAGAAAGACACAAGGAAAAGATACAGAATCTGGATAGAGGGGAAGTGCTCAACCCTATGAGAACAAGGGAAAACATGGAAAGAATTCCCTTCATATCCCCATATACTCCCTATAGTAATAACATAAAACATTTCAATATATTTGAAGGAGATGGTAATTTACCAAATGAATTTCGGAATCCCCCTCTATTCTCTTACCAAAGAGCTCAGACCCTTAGGGATAAGTTAGTACGATCTGACATCGGGAGCGGCAAAAAGCAAAGCTTATTTTTATATACACAAACTTGAATTTGAGATTGTTGAAGCCAATCAGAAACCGCTATTGTCTGGTTCAACATGTGAGTGCCTGGGACTGATGCAATTCACAATTCCTGTGGAGCTGCACAATGTTGATAATCAGCTTGCAAAGCCCTTGACTAGGCCACTGACAAAACTGCAAATCCTCAACGTCTATAATGATGTGATTACTGGCCCAGTAGTATATGTTCCAGGAGTGGTTCATTTTGAACTGGATCCTATCATTCCACCAGTACAATGTGCCCCACGCAATGTGTCTATAGCTATTAAGCCACAAGTAAAAGCGCAACTGGATAAGTATGAAGCTGACGGACATCTTACATCAGTATGAGAGCCAACTGACTGGATAAGCAACATGGTACTTATTAGAAAGCTTGAAAAGATTAGAATTTGCATTGATCCAGAGTTTCTTAACATGGCCCTGAGAAGGTCACACTACATAATGCCAACACTTGAGGATGTTTTGCACAAACTGCCTAAAGCACGGGTTTACACTTGTTGATGCAAGAGATGCCTTTCTACAGTGCAAACTGGATGAAAAGAGTAGCTAGATGACCATTTTCTGGACTCCCTGGGGCTGAAAGAGATGGCTCAAGCTGCCGTTCGGAGTCTTCTTAGCCCCAGAGGTATATCAGCGAAAGCAACATGAACTGTTAAGCAGGACATATCCATATAAGACATATCCTGTCTCAACAAGGCTTGAAAGATGACCCAGATAAGATTAGAGCCATTGTGGACATGCCACGGCCTGGTGACACCACAGCAGGGCAGCGTTTTATTGGCTTTGTCACATACCTAGCAAAATTCATGCCACATTTGTCTGAGGTGTGTGAGCCATTGAGAAGGCTTCTAGATAAAGATGCAGTTTGGCATTGGCTTCTCAAGCATGACCAGGCAGTGGAGGAAATAAAATGCTTGATCACAGCTGCCCCAGTGCTAAAATATTATGATGTAAAAAAGCCTGTTACAATACAAACCGACTCAAGCAAAAGTCGTCTATTGCAAGGTCAGCCAGTTGCATTTGCACCCAAAGCACTCTCTTAAGCTGAGCAAAATTATGCTCAAATTGAAAAGGAATGTTTAAGAATTGTTTTTGCCTGTCAGCTTTTCCATCATTATCTCTATGGCCGGGATGCAATCATAGCTGAAACTGATCACAAACCACTAATAGCCATATTCAAGAAGCCGCTTTTATGTGCTCCAAAGCGTTTGCACAGCATGATGCTTACATTGCAGAATTACAATCTCAATGTTGTGTACAAGCCAGGATTTGAAATGTACATCAGTGACACCCTAAGCAGAGCTACAACGGAACACGTGGCACCTGGAGGTGAGCATGAGCATCCTGCAGTTTGTTGCAGCGGGAACAGAATTTCTTTGCCGAAGTCAATCAAGCAGACTATCTTAATGTCACAGATCAGCGGTTACATCAGCTCATACAGCACACAGAAAGTGATGCAACTTTGCAAGCACTGAAGTCTATAGTTCTGATGGGGTAGCCAGATGAAAAGGATGCAGCACCTGCAATTGTGAAGGAATATTGGTCCTTCAGAGATGAGATCAGCATACAAAATGGTATCTTGTACAAAGGTCCAAGGGTCATAGTCACTAACAGCAGAGATGTTATCGCGCATACACTCAAGCCACATCGGAGGTGAGGCTTGCTACAGACAAGCTTGTGATACTCTTTACTAGCCCAACATGCAAGGTGAAATCAAAGACTTTGTCAACAATTGTCCCACTTGCAATGAATATGCACACTCGCAACAAAAATAAACCATGATGTCACATAAGATACCTACACGTCCTTGGCAGATTGTCAGCATGGACTTATTTAAATATGCTGGAAAAGAGTACCTGCTCTTAGTCGATCATTACTCAGACTTCTGGGAAATTGAACTGCTTCCTGACTTGTCCACTGAAACTACAATTCAGCGATGCAAGGCGCAATTTGCACGTCATGGCCAACCAACTAAAGTGATTTCTGATAATGGTCCTCAGTTTGCAAGCTTACAGTTCAGGAAATTTGCCACAGAATGGGAGTTTGAGCATGTGACTTCTTGACCACGTCATCCACAAGCAAATGGCAAAGCTGAATCTGCTGTGAAAATAGTGAAGAATTTATGCAAAAAAGCTAAAAGTGATGGTAAAGACCCATGGAAAGCCATCTTACATTGGAGAAACACTCCAACAGAGGGTATGGATAGTAGTCAGGCACAAAGACTGATGTCAAGGAGATTAAAGACCTCTTTATCAGTAGCCAACAAGCTACTTGAACCCTCTGTGATACAAGGTGTACCAGAAAAGTTACGACTTAATAGGCAAGTGTTCAAGGCTAGATATGACTCATCTGCTAGGGATTTACCTGATCTGAATATTGGGGAACAAATACGTATGAAACCGCTTCCTGGAGATCGAACAGGTCGCTGGAGAATGGGAACCTGTCTGCAAAAGGTTGCACCACGCTCTTATCTTGTGGATATCAAAGGATCTCTCTACCAACGCAATCATGTGGATCTGCGAGTGGCCGAGAAGCCCGATTCTCAATATCCAGTTGACAAGCCAGATACACCTAGTATTCCAAGGACACAGTCACATGTCGGCAGTGAAGAGTGTACAGAAGTGATACCACAGACTAGTACTAATGACAGCCCTGAGCAAGCAGGACCTGACAGCAGTCAAGTTCAAAGCATGCCAGTAAGTGGTGGGAAGAGTCCAGTAACCTCAGAGAGGGCTAAAAGACTATTTGCACAAACTGGACCAGTCTTCACTTGTAGTGGCAGACATTCACAACCACCTAAGAGACTTAACCTCTAGAATGTTATTACAAGGACAGTGTTTCACAAAGTTGATTTATTAATACTAAAAGAGGGAGATGTTATGGATGTTATGTTTGGTTTACATGCAACTAACTCTATGGTTTATTCTCTATTGCACGTGTTTCCTGTTGGGGGTGTACTTCCTTACTGTATCTCCTGAAACATGACTGCTATAAACTAATACCTGGCAGTGTCTTTATTTGTCTCCTGAAATAATCGTTGCCAGGCTTGTCACAATTATTTTCAGACAAGTCGGAATCTTTAAAAATGTCTGTTACTAAAGTCAACTTTTTCCAGCTGTTTCTGTGCTACACAACATCATTTAACCCCTTAAGGACTGGACTGTTTTTGCGATGTTGTACATTTGCGACCAGGAATATTTTTACACTTTTGTGGTGTTTGTGTTTGGCTGTAATTTTCCGCTTTCTCATTTACTGTTCCCATACAAATTATATATTGTTTTTTTCAGGACAAAATGGGCTTTCTTTACATACCATTATTTATATAATCTCATGTATTTTAATTTAAAAAAAATACAAAAATCTGATGAAAAATTGAAAAAAATACATGTTTTTTGACTTTTACTTGAAAAATCTTTTACTCATCTACAAAAGCGAATGAAAAAAACTGCTAAATAGATTCAAAATTTTGTCCTGAGTTTAAAAATACCTAGTGTTTACGTGCTTTTTTGCTTTTTTTTGCATGTTATAGGGCTATAGGTACAAGTAGGATATTGCGGTTTCAAAACATACATTTTTAAAATTTATCAATAGTGACATTGTAACACTATTATCTGTCATAAATCTCTGAATAACACCCCACATGTACATATTTTTTTTAAAGTAGACAACCCAGGGTATTCAATATGGGGTATGTCCAGTCTTTTTTAGTAGCCACTTAGTCGAAAACACTGGCCAAAGTAAGCATTCATATTTGTTTGTGTGTGAAAAAAGTAAAAAAACTAAATTGAGCGCTAATTTTGGCCAGTGTTTGTGACCAAGTGGTTACTAAAAAAGACTGGACATACCCCATTTGCAATACCTTGGGTTGTCTTCTTTTGCAAATGGTATGCCATCATGGGGGTAATTCTCATTCCTGGGCTACCATACGCTCTCAAAGGCAACGTAACCAACCTGGCCATTTTCAATGTAAAAATATTTGACCCATATATTTGACCTTGTAACTTTCAAAAATGCTATAAAACCTGTACATGGGGGGTACTGTTTTACTCGGGAGACATCGCTGAACACAAATATTAGTGTTTAAAAACTGGAAAACGTATCACAACAATTATATCATCAGTAAAAGTGCTGTTTGTGTGTGAAAAATGCAAAAAAAGTAACTTTCACTGACAATATCATCGCTGTGATATGTTTTACTGTTGTGAATCACTAATATTTGTGTTCAGCGAAGTCTCCCGAGTAAAACAGTACCCCCCATGTACAGGTTTTAGGGTGTCATAGAACGTTACAGGGTAAAATACAGTGCTAGCAAATTAAATTCTCTGGAATTTCGGCCTGGGTTGGCAGGCAGGTCCCTCAAATTGCAATCAATAAAATTACTGAATTATGTAAAAATATTACATAAATACGCACGTAGAATTTAAATATATATGCATATTTATATATTTGAAGTCTACGTGTATATTTATATAATTATTTATGTAATTTTGTATATGGACATATGTATATTTCTTATTATTTTTATTTATTTTTATATACATAGATATATATACAAATTCATTCTAAGTGTATTTTGATATAAATATATATATATTAATTTTAAAAATACAGTTAGAATAAAATTTCTTATAGATATATAATTTTTTAAATTTATTATTATTTTTAAAAAAATTATTTAATTTAAATACTATTATTTATATATTTTATAATAATATATATACAATATATAGTTATTATATATATTATATATAACAAGTAATTATAAGTGTATTTTTATATTAATATAAGTACATATTAATATAAAATACCGCAATGCTATTATATATATGATATATAGACATATATTATATAGATATAATATATCTATATATATCATATTTATACATATATATTATTATTATTTTTTATTACCATTAACTTTAATTTTTATTTTGGTGGGAGACTTGCCTGTCAGTACAGACAATGATCCCCACAGGCAACATGGACACCTATTATGTGATGCGCTGTGTTAGCGATCACATAGCCTGAAGATAATCTGCCGTGGGGAGACTGTCTGGGCTGCAGGCAGTCTCCCCACAACCGGAGGAACACTGATCGCCGCCGGGGGAACGACGGCGATCAGGTAAGTACCCCCAGACCGTTTGGACGGTTCAGGACCGTCATCGGTCGGCAAGGCAAAAATGCCGATGACGGTCCTGAACCGTCCTCGGTCCTTAAGGGGTTAACAACAGATAATCAGCTAATTCTGAAACTTTTACTCAACTCCATAGAAGTTCGTAGGAGACTTTAAATTCTAAGTAACTCCTTATTTTACTGCTAAATGGAAAAAATTACCACATATTGTTATCTGACTGAAAATAACAACTGCATCATCTAGGTGTAAAGAGGAAAAGATTAAAAGTTAATGACTACAATCTCTCAATACATCTTGTGTTTAAATCGAAAAATATGATTTTTTTTTCTAATTACATTTAAGCACCAATGCCTATCTTTATACATGTAGTTCACAAAAACGTTTACTTTTCAAAAACTATCTGTGAATTTTGGAAAGTCAATGTATGCAAACACTGAGTGCAGGTTCCTCAGATGATCACAGGAGGAATGTGCATTGTGTTTAGCCTACCTAGTATAGTGTCCTGGTGGAAACTGAAAAGTATATTTAAAATAATAAAAAAAAAAAAAATAGAAAAAAAAAATATATATATATATATATTTGCATGTCAGTGAAATTCCAATGCAATGTCTTAATCGGTACTCAATATAGACCAGGGGTAGGCACCCTTTGGCACTGTAGATGTTTTGGACTACATGATACTTTACTGTATTATGCGTGTAAGAGTATTATGGGAGATGTAGTCCACAACATCTGGAGTGCCGAAGGTTGCCTACCTCTGACATAGACTGTATCTTTATGAAATACTGAAAAGTGACTGATTCGCTTTACCTTCTGTACTATTTATTGAATTTTAATTACACACAGGAGGCTTTTGCAGGCTCTAACAGGTTAATAACATTGCACACTGTGCAATATGGGAAGCTTAAAAATGTAGACTCTCTTCCAGGAAGTGTCCAGGGTGTCACGTCCTGTTCCGTTCTGCGCAGATATCTGGCCTTGACTTCTGGTATCCAGTACTCTTTTCACAATTCTTGTTTAGTTTTTCTTGGTTTTTCTGTTTTTCTATTCTATGTCTGGTTTTATTTATGCTGGGTTTTCTGGACATGAAAGGTGCTCCAATTCGCAGTACAGACAAGAACACAAGCATAAGGATTGTCGAGGATAAGCCAATGTCAGAGGATGCCAGAGGTCAGGATAAACAAGGAGGAAGGCCAGGGTCAGGAGCCGGGGTCAATCTGGAGAACAGGTTTTCAGGTGACAAAACAGGAACAACACGCGATCACCAGAATCAAATAACTGACCATGTTCTCATGGAGAGGCAGGTTTAAATATCTTGCTAATGAGCTATCTGCCTCAGGTGGACATAGAGAGACAGGAGCAGCCACAGGTAAACTCCATCCCCCCCAGCTGCAGACAAGGCAGTATAGGACATCAGGCAGAACCCATAGGGAAGCATTGGATTGGCTAAAATCGGCACGGGGCGGGGTCAAATGCTATTTTGGCCAATCAGGTTGTCATTTTTACTCTCAGGTTAATGTGCATAGGCAGGATATTAAGAATTAGGAATTGTATCATTCTGTATTAATTGACAAAACGCTTACATCATATTTTAACCCCTTCTGTGCTATAAAGCTATGTTGTATTACAAAGCCAACCCTTTGTTTATGCATAAAACATTACTGATTGCACAATTGTTTATGTAAAATTTGCATTTGGATACCAAGCATATGACTTATTGAGTCAAACTTTATGAATATTTTAAAAGACATTACTATCTAAGGTTTCCTTTATGATATCAATGCCTATGTGGATGGGGGTTTTAAGTTGTTTTTATGTATAAAAGCTCCAAATAATATTATTATACAGATGTTAAATCAGTGTGTTATTAGGAATGCTTTTTTTACAGGATATTATAATAAATCGATAAATTCTAAATAATGAATATATTCCTCTTCTGATAACTCTAAGTCTTTCTAAAGATCTATCCTTCCTTTACACAAATATAAACAAAGGCAGTTTACTCAACACTCTTGGTGCTGCAGCCTAAATTTATTTCAAAGTTGAGTAATTACTTTTACTAACCTATTGTCAGGATACACTAAAATGCCCAACACACAGAACTTAAGTAAAAATAAAGAAAAACCTAAGGCGTATTACCGGCCTTAGAATGGCCGGATTTAACGTATAAAAAAAAAGTACAAGACAGGCTGAGATCAGGAATACAGAGTATGCGTAAACGGTATGTAAGCCAAAGGTCACGTAATATAAAAGTCAGAATAGTCAGGAGCCAAGCCAAAGTTGAAGGGATACAGATATCAGAAGTCAGTAAGAAAGCCAAGGTCATAATACACAAGAAACAATACCAGAAATGCGCTCTCAGATAATCAGAATGGAAACCACGACAGGGCTCAGAGAAATGAAGAAAAAAGGTTTAAATAGCCTAAGGTGTTCCTTGATTGGCTACAGAGGAGCATGTGATAGTGAATGTGTGTGTGACGTCACACACACGTTCCCAGTAGTTAGGCACTAAAAGGGTTAATTAAGAACATTAAAATGTTCTTACTTGCAGCGGCCGGCGTCTCTAATGATTACAGACCCGGCCACTGTGTGAGGGGAGGAGTGCCTGCCAGTGAGGCCAGCAGGCGTCGCAAGAGGAGGTGAGTGATCGGCAGCATTCCCATTACCACGTGGGAATGGCACCGCAACGAAATGCGCCCGCCGGGTCTGCTCCCGGGCAGAAGTGAACAGGGCGGGCTCTTTGATACAAGGTAAGTATTCAGCGGCATTCCCCTTGCGATGAGACGTGCCCGCCAGGACCCAGACTGCTCTCTGGCAGGAGCGGACCCGGCGGGTGGAGTAACACCTATTCCCTTTATTGCGAAAAGAAGGATCCTAAACATTTCAATTTGAGGCAGGTTGAAAGGGTTAACCATATAGCATATGATTACCATTTGCTACTTGGTATACCATTACCAAATATATCACTTGAAAATTTTCTGTTGATAGTTTTAACCTTCTGAGATTTATATCCACATCTACGTGAAAACAATACAGAAATCTATAGTACAAAGTCACATCATGTGTGTAGCTTCTAATATTTTTAACCGCAATATAGTGTAGAGCGATGGGTTAATGAAATAAACTATTTTCAAATTAACAAAACAGCATTTTAATGTAGTTATAAGTTAAAGGAAGAGTTTTTCGGGGCCAGTAAGTGGGGATACCCAAGTTACGCAGACGCAATAAATTCTAAATATAAATGATAACATATAAGTGAAACATAAGTGTTTGAGATAAATATAATAAAACATAAGGATGCTAAAATTAGCACCAGTAAGACTATTGAGACACTTACCTTTTCCCTCTGTTACTCTCATATATGTGTCGTTAATCCTACTGAACCATGGGCCAGGACATGTTACTGTTTAATTCTCTGGCTAAGCTTGGAGCTCACTCGTATGTCAGTCTAAGTGATATATAGATCATCAGTGGCAGAACTAGATAATGAGGGCACAGGTGCATAGGATATTTTTGCTCCCAAGTGTTATGTGAACAACCTTGAAAAAGTATTTATGTATTTTCTATCTGCTCCCTTTTGTATATTAACAGAATGTAATATGAACTGAAGCTGGCTGGTATCTGATGTCTTAGCAAGGTTTGCAGAATCCCTATGATGGCTCGAATAAAAACACAAAGTGTTGCAATGTTATCAGTAAACCCTGAATACATGTATGGGATTATATGTATCTAGGTTCTTTTACGTAATTTAAAGGAGAATGATAATTTCTCAGGATTTTTATGTTATGTTTATGTATCCTTGTATTTCAAAAATGTGTTTTTATTAGATGTGAACAATTTAATTTAATTTAGAAAGAAATTTATCCTGCAACTAGGTGCCACCATCTTCAATCCTTTTTCTAAGCTCTGTCCTTTGCGCTTGGCAGTCAACATAGCGAAACCATAAGGAAAAGAGGGGAAATTAAACAATGTCTTCATATTTCATCTGCATCTGCAATACAGGTTAGGTGATCTTAAATTACTTATTCAATGGCGTGAATTTCAGAGAAATCATAGTACCCCTTTAAGTTTTGATACAGGGACAGTAGTCATACAAAAGACTACGATGCCAAATTTAAGTATTTTCTGGAACCTAATGTTATCGTTTTAGGTTTGTACTCTGCATGCATTTAACTTCTACTTTTTAAAGGCTTTTCAATAAATATATTGGTAGTTTTTGTAGACTGATCCTTGTTTCTGTTTTTTTTTTAATTTCCTTTAAAAAAAACTTTTTAAGTGATTTGAAAACAACCATTTACTTTAACTAGTTTTAATTAAAAAAAAATTAATAATAAGAATAATACTAAAACTGTGCAGATAACCTGCCTAACACCTTACAATGATGGGGAAATAGTTTTATTACCCCATTCTTTATCTAAGAGTGTGGTTTCTTTGGGTGACATATACATTTATTCTTTTTTGCAAATATGTATTTCCAACATATTTCATAGAATGTTACCTATGCCTGATAAATCAGCAGCAGGGAGGAAAGTACAAACTGGGTTAAATTAAATCTGAAGTCAAAACAATATATGGATACATGAAAACAATATAAAATCACTTGAAGTGTATTCATATGATTGGATTTTAATGCTATAGCAATAAAGAAATTTATAGATACAATTACAAAAGTTATAATTACTAAAAACAATCTTAAACAAGGCATGTAAAGAACCGCTATTGCAAAATACAGGAACATATCCTTAAAAAAATATATATGCAAATATTTTACAATCCCAGCTTAAAATACTAATTATACAGTAAATTCAGCACAGCCAATCAGGTTTCCTATTGAAAAGATTTGCAGAAGATTTTTTTTTAATATATTGGAATTCAAACTGAAACTGAGCCCAGTGCTGTAACTAACAGTCAATAATTAAGGTTTTTGGATCATTTGGTCTAGAGCAGATGTTTGTAGAACTACAACTGCCATGATGCTTTGTATGTCTTTATAATGATTTTAGAATGACAAACCATCATGCAACTTGTATTTTTAAAACATCTGAGGCTCTACCTTTTGGGCACCCATGGTCTAGAGTGCTGTTACCAACATGTGTGCTCATAACCTATTATGCTGATATAATAAGTACAGGTGAAACCTTATTTTGGATCAAACTATGCAATGGTAGAAGACAGGGTTGTTCACTATGACCATTACTGTATATCAGGGTAAAACCGATAGTGTAAACTGTTATGATATATAATCTATTAGAGAACATAGTAATATTCATATTTATATTAACCATATTACCCTAAAAGAGCCAGAAATGTTGATTGTTTGCAAACATTTGTATTTTCAATTTTTTTCAAATTTCCATCTATTTTATTTTTTTTGTCCAAATCCCACCAAATGTAGTATTATTGTGTAAAATAATGAATGTCCCGTGTAGCTATGGTCAGTTAAAATATCATGAGGCTAATTTGAGGCATGCAGCCTAAAGAAATATCTGAGAGTCAAATAGAAGCATCAAATACTGTGGTTACAGAGCAGTTGTAAAAATTCTAATTGTTTTGGTGCTAAACTGCTAAATAGTAACTTTGGGGCATGCTCTTCATATCTGAAAGTCGAATAGAACCATCAAATACTGTATTTACAGCGCACTTTGACAAATTCCCATTTTTTTTATCCTAAATATTACATTTGGGGCCTGCACTTCATATCTGAGAGTCAAATAGAACCTTAAAATAATGCGGTTACAGTGCAGTTGTAAACATTCTAATTGTTTCGGTGCTAAATAGTACATTTGGGGAGCGTACTTCATATCTGGTGTATGTGTGCAACACTAGCTTGTTAATTATCTCAGACCATTAAAATTCAATAATCAATGAAAAAACACACGAAGTGTCATACAAAAATATGTATTATAGACAAGTTAAAAACAAGACTACAAGTCATGCTATAACAAAATTAAACTGGTTACATTCATGACTACACACTCTAGTGAACAGGACCTTCATGTAGTGTGTTTTTTTTAACATCATACAGCATCCTTTCATGTGCTTTTTAGATGTCATATTGTTAATTACCAATTCTTGTTTAGCCTGATTTTTTTTTTAAGTGAAAAATAAGTGTTATTGTGATCGCTTCATATACAGAAGCATTAATATACATTTCTATATTGTGTAAAGACACAACTACAAAGTTAAAAACCAAACACCAAAACAATGTGCCAGACAATTTACCTGTGCCTGGCTAGTGTGATACAATTAGTCTACATCTTAGAAATGCAATAACCCACAGAAGATGGGCGAGAATGTTTTTGGGCAAATCGAACTTTGATTCGAATTTACTACATCAGCATAAGAGGGAGCAGGATGCAAAAGCGGAGCAGCCGTCCCCTAGCGCTCGTCGGCATGTATTATCAATATTACACTAATAATACACTATTATATTCTCTCTCTGTTTGTTTTCCCTATATGCCTATGAGAAAAACCCCTACATACAACTAAGGGGTAAGTGTAATTCATCCAAGCGCCACACGTTAAGTCTCTGAGTGTTAGGTGGTGAGATTATCACCTAAACCTTGGAGTCCGTTTTTGTGTTCACATTTTGTACTAAAGTGGAGTATTGGGAAATCCACTAACGGTGTTCTAACTGCTGGTACTAGATTTATTTTTTCTGCTATAAACTGTAAAGCGCCTTCAATACACTGTTTTTAGATTTGCACACCCCCTGGTGCTGAGCACCAGTGTTTGTGTGGCCACATACCAGGACCCTGATGCAGCTTCAGCGAGCAGCAGCAGGAGATAGTGGAGTTTCAGCTGCAGCACGCACGAGTCAGTTGCACATTACCAGACTTGCCCTCCAATTGATCAGAGTTAAAGGATTTCAAGTGGACGCATTACAATTACAGGGCCTCTAAAGAGTCCTGTATTGTTATTTGTCGTCACCACCTTCCCGCGTCGGGAGTGGGTCATTTGCGCGCCTGCTGCCTTCTTTGCATGTGGTAGCCATTTCTCAGGCTCCCTCTCCGGAATCAAACCCTGATTCCCCGTTACCCGTGGTCACCATGGTAGGCGCAGAAAGTGGCATCGAAAGTTGATATGGAAGACATACGAATGCATGGTCGCCTTGTCGTTGGGGAGCCCATTGAAAAAGTGCTCTAGCATGATCTCCTCCAGGAACTTGGCTTGATGGGAGTTGAGCCAGTTCTGGGTGGCCCTTGTGATGTGGCATGCCCACTCCGCATGGGAGTCCTTCACCTCTTTCCGGGTCTCCCTAAACTTTCGGCGGTATTGCTCGGGAGAGACCACATACCGGGCCAGGAGGATTTGGGTAATAAAGGGATAGTCTCTGATCTGCTCTTCTGGTACAGCCAGGTAAATATCCGCTGCCTTCCCCATTAGTTTGCAGGCCAGGATGGTGACCCAGTCGCTGGGGTCCACGTCTTGGAGTAGGCACTGGTGCTCAAAGTCTTGTAAAAAGTCATCAATGCCTTCTTCTGCTTCCTTGAAGTCTTTGAAGGCATTGTATGGTAGCTTGTGGGCCAGAGTGGTTGTGCTTCCCGGCGCCCTCTGCTCCCTTCTTACTTCATCTGGGTTCATAGTGGTCGCTCTCTGTCTATTGGCAAGGATGTAAAAAAAGGTCCTGCTGACAATCTCCTCTGAGGGTGGCTCTTGGTAATATGCCAGGTGCCGTTACACCTTATTGCGCACTTCCTCCTCATCTTCGGCCCCTGGCTGGGGTTCCTTGCCTCACCGCATGCCTGGTCGTCCTCCATAAGCACAGCAGTCAATTCGGCCTTGTTACGCCCACCAGGCGTTATTCCTCTGGCTCCACACATGTCCTGCAGTGTAGGTCGCTTTAGAGCACTGTAGTCCATGGGTCTGTTGGCAGGGACATGGTATCCCGCCGCTTGCCACCAATTGAAGCGGGACCTGGGTAAGCAATGGTTATCCCCTTTGATTAGAATAGGTCAAAGGGGACACAGTTCCAGGATACAACGTTTGACAATCTTTATTTGGGTACACAGCTGAATTTGGTGGTGCAGAAATTCCTGAAAAACTACCCAGATATATCAGAGCTGCTGCAGAAAGTGCGGGCCGTCTGTGCGCGCTTTTGGCGTTCTCATCCTGCTGCTGCTCGCCTGTCTGCGCTGCAGCGTAACTTCGGCCTTCACGCTCACCGCCTCATGAGACTGTGCGAGCAGCAGCAGACGATAGTGGAGCTTCAGCTGCAGCACACACGGGTCAGTCACTCTGCGGAACAGAGTTTTCTTTTTTTATATGTCCCAATATTTTGGGGGTTACCCCAATTTAAAATAAATAAATAAATAAATAAAAAACAGTGTTGGCTACCTCCTCCACCGCCGCTTCCACCTACACCGCCAAGGTGTATACCCAGATATATCAGAGCTGCTGCAGAAAGTGCGGGCCGTCTGTGCGCGCTTTCGCCGTTCTCACCCTGCTGCTGCTCGCCTGTCTGCGCTGCAGCGTAACTTCAGCCTTCCCGCTCATCGCCTTATGAGACTGTGCGAGCAGCAGCAGGAGACAGTGGAGTTTCAGCTGCAGCATGCACGGGTCAGTCGCTCTGCGGAACAGAGTTTTCTTTTTTTATTTGTCCCAATATTTTGGGGGCTACCCCAATTAAAAAAAAACAAAAAACAAAAAAAACAGTGTTGCCTACCTCCTCCTCCACCGCAGCGGTCACTGCCTCCTCAACCTATGGGTCACTTAGTATAAACTATGTACAAATTAGCAGAGGCTTGTGAAGGCATTTTCTCCATGCATCAGGAGTTGAGCTCAGTTTGAACAATGAAAGAGAATACCCTGGACTCCAACCCTCTCTCAAATGGATAATTCTGGTGATCCTCCTGACAGCCATGCTTTAGATTTTGATTTATGTTCTTCCAAAGCTAAAATCAAAGATTCCATTTAGTGCTATTTTATGGCTCACCCGTATTTTAAATTTTTAGGTATTTTATGTTATTTTAAGTGATTTCCCTATCCACATTTGTTTGCAGGGCACTTGTCCTACTCTTACCCCCATTTTACTAGCCCTTTCCAGGACTTTTTAAGAGGCATTTTTGTGCCCAAAAATTCGGGTCCCCATTGACTTCAATGGGGTTCGGGTTCAGGGTCAAGTTCGATCCCGAACCCGCCGGACCCGAACATCCAGGTGTCCGCTCAACTCTACACATGACAGAACTGCATTAAAGGAGCGTCCACACTCCACTACTAGGTTTTAACCACTGCCTGTCGGTTTTGTGCTACATTAAGCTGCTACACCACTATTTTTGTGGATCACTTGCTTCCTATATCAGTTAAGGAAATAGACTCCTAGTTGAATACCCTGCTAAACTACCATACAAAAGGAACGCCACTGCAGGGACCTGAGTGCATATGACCATGTTGCTTGAGTGCATATAAATATTCTATAACACCCTACCCAGGGTTAATTAACATATACTGTACCAAGAGTACAAATAAGACTGTGGCTGTCCTCTGGCATTTTTTATGGCCTGCACCTGGGATGACCCCCCTAGCTATCTGTATCTATCGGATTTTGCGCCTGTGACTAAAGTGGGTGTCCTCTGATTGTCACGGCACACCACTCGTGGCGATCCCCTGCTAACTACATGCGGGTCTGCTATGGGAGAAAATACTTATACACTGAATGTCCGATTGTAACGCATTTATTGGAACTTATCGGGGTGTCAACTCCGGGTACAAATGAGGCGCACTCAGACTCCTAGTCTCCACCCTGGTCTCCATGAATTTATAGGGTACCCCCTGACAACAGGTGTGAGGGCCCTCCCACATTGGCACACGTGTATATATATTATACTACGCACTCACGGGCATCACCTATAATAATAATATTTCTACACTTTGGGTCACTACGCCCTGGGCCAACCCCAGTTGTATGAGGAGACGGACTCCTTTATGTGATTGCCTGTCACTATTACACCTGACTGTCCGTCACTGTTTTCACATACAGGACAGTTCCATACATGGATAACACACAATCGACCCGAGACTTACAGGCCATGATAAACGCAGCGGTTGCGGCCTCAGTTGAGAAGGCCCTTCTACGGCCACTACCGCTACCCCAGGAAGACACAGCACCAATCTGACACGGCAGAAGCCTCAGGTTCGGACCTGTCAAGGACCAAAAGACCCCGGAAGGGCACAAGCCCCACAGCCTCAAAATCAAAAGGCAAAGCACCGCTTAAAATGCTGAAACATGTGGAGCGAGACCCATCTCCCCACCACCTCCCTCCTCCTCCTCGGAGGAGGACTATGATCTGCAGGACGACCTTGATGTCGTGGACGAATGGCGCCGGGATGCCTCACACTCGGAGGAGGATGAATGGCAGTACCTGCCGCAATCCTCATCGCAGTATGTTACAGAGACCTTTCTCGGAGAGACGGACGAACACAGGCACGTCCGGAGGGTCCCGAAGACTAAAGAGATAGAAGAGGGTACTTTCTTGGACAAACAGGGAGTGCCACTCTTCGACCCCCGGAACATCCGTCACCCTCGGTCATCGAAATGGATCCTTCCCGATCATCTAAAAGACTTCATCCACTTCTGGCTGTGCAAGCCCCTCGACAGGGAGGTCCGAGCCCGTCTTAGGGCCGAATGCCCAAGACCACCTTTACCGGACAAAATAGCGTGCAATCCGGAATTTGATACCACGGTAGTGGCCATGTCCCGCTCCGGACGGGACCCACGCAAAGGGGCCGAAAAAAGGCTAAAAGGCATACAGGACAAAACCCTATACATGCTGGGCCCTCTGGCCAAGATTCTTTATTTTGCTGACGTTGCTCTCTCCCAAGGTACACAGCTGGACCCACGCGCCATTCGGGAATGGGCCCAACGAGCCATATGTCTATTGGGTAATACAAGTGCGGCACTCTGTACTGAACAGCGCAGGATGGCCTTGCTCCGCATCGACTCGAAATTGCTGGACCTCGGAGCCAAAGAACTAGGACCAGAAGCTAAAGGCCTACTGTTTGGAGAAGTGTTTATATCCGAACTTAAAAGACATGTCAACCTGTTCACCACGCTGAATAAAGCACAAACACCTCTGAAGCAAGTGTTCCGAACACCAGCAGGAAGAGGTGTTTTTGGCCTGGCTGGTCGGCAACAGAGCCGCGCCACCAGCCGGTTCTGGTCATCAGGCTCCAGAAGCTACCCTCAGACGTCCAGCTTCTATCCCGCCTCAACCCACAGATCCTCCTTCCACAGAGGCACAGACAGAGCCAGAGGTCGTGGACGTGGTCGCTTCACAACGGGTGAGTGTACATGTCAGGCCATCTGTCCCTACGTTTACCGCTGGCAACCTGTCCCTTTTCTTTCAGAATTGGAAAGCGATCACCAACGACACCTGGGTTACACCATCGAATTTCACTCGCTACCAGTCCAAACATCCCCCCTGCCACCAATTTGTATGTCTACAGAACAAAATATATTGGTGGACAAGGAGATACACACCCTCTTCCGGAAGGGCGCAGTTCAGTACGCGCCGGAGAGAGACGGATTCTTCAGCAATATCTTCCTGGTAAGGAAGAAGACATGCGAATTCCGGCCTGTTATCAACCTGTGAGACCTGAACCAATATGTGGTATACAGACATTTCAAAATGGAAGGCATTCACCTCCTACAGGACCTTCTCATCACGGATGACTGGTTCACACGTCTGGACTTGAAAGACGCTTACCTGTCAGTCCCCATTGCTCTAGATTGTCGTTGTTTCCTCTGCTTCAGTTGGAGAGGACGTGCATGCCAGTTCACATGTCTGCAGTTCGGGCTCTACTCTGCGGTGCTTCACGAAGCTGCTGAAACCGGTGATGGCTCACATCCGAACATCGGGCGTGCGATGTCTCGCTTATCTGGACGATTTGCTGATTTTCTGCGAATCTGCATCCAGACTACGATTGCAGACGAAATTTGTCGTTCACTTTCTGGAATCCTTGGGTTTCGTGGTGAACAGACAAAAATCTTCTCTCTCTCCCGCCCACTCGATGCAGTTCCTCGGTTTCAAGATCGACTCGAAGAACTGTATATTACGCCTCCCCGCGGCGAAGATAGTCTCCATACGGAAGATCAGACGGGTTCTCCGGATGGAGACTGTCCCTCTCAGAGTGCTGGCATGGATTGTGGGCCTACTATTGTCCT